TTTTTTTTTTTTTTTTTAAAGATGACCGGTAAGGGGATCTTAACCCTTGACTTGGTGTTGTCAGCACCACGCTCAGCCAGTGAGCGAACCGGCCATCCCTATGTGGGATCCGAACCCGGGGCCTTGGTGTTATCAGCACCGCACTCTCCCGAGTGAGCCACGGGCCGGCCCAGTCTGCAAATCTTTTATTTTCATTGTTTCGAGATTTTTTTTTCTCCAATTTGATGCAACACTTTTCATTAGGTAGTAATCACATTACAGATATCTGTCCTTCTGGTCCTTTCAAAGCCCCTTGAGGGGCTGTGTTTCCAAGTGCCTAATTTTGGAAAGTTATTCCCAGTACTCAAATGGGTTTTATTGGTATTTAAAAGAATTATTGGTATTATTGATATTTTGGCACAATTTTATGACTTATTTCTAAAATCCCCCCTCTCAGGACTTTGGAAAGAACCAAATCCTGGCCATTCATCACAGGAAAGTTAACTTCTGCTTTCCCAGGACTGCTTGAGGCATCACTGTGGCGGGTTTCAATGCAGTGAGGTGGTGATCACACTATGATTTCATAGGGTGGTGTTGTTAAGATTACATAAAAACAGAAACAAATCTCCACAATGCCATGAGAAGAAGCAAAGTCTGCCAATTCTTTGTTTGTTTGAGCACCTACTAGGTGCCAGGAGCTGGATATAGAGTAGTAAGCCAGACAAACAATTCTGCCCTAATGGTCTGTTGTGGGGAAGTGGGGGTGTCATTCCATAAGAGTGTAAACAATGTAATAATAAATACTGGTACTGAACAAGGCTGTGTGGTGGAGCAGGATTGCTGCGGGGGAGTCTGTCTGAAAATATGTCCCTGGCATTCAGACTGACCAGTGAGGAGAGGCACTCAAGCCAGGGTCTGGGGAAGAAGCCTTCCAGGATGTTTGGGGAATAGAAGGGAGTCCAGGCTTACTGAAGTGTCTTAGATGAGGTCAGAGAGGTGGCTAAGATTTGGGGGGTTCTTCACTCTATGACTGTATCAGTCCTTTTTATGACACTTATAACAGAATACCTGAAAAGATAATTTATAAAGGCACGTCTGATGAGGGCCTTCTTGGATCACACGGCGAGAGGACTGGACACATTTTAATGTGCTCTCTTGCTCTCCTTATAAAGCCACCAGTGCCGCTCCCATGATAACTCATTTATCCATTAACCCATTAATTCATAAATGGACTAATCCATTCATGGGAGCAGAACCCTCACTGTCCAGTCACCTCCCAAAGGCCCCACACTTCGAGTACCATAGTCAGATTTCCCACCCTCTTAACACTGTTACAGGGGGATCAAGCTTCAGTATGAGTAGAGGGTGCATTCAAACTACAGCAGTGGCCATTACCACCTGCACCAGGGAAGTTTCCAGGTCATTTTATTTTATTTTTATGTCTACTCAGATATTCTCTTAGATTTTGCTTAGGCTATTGGCTAATGGATGTTAATAGAGGCCGAGATTACAGGGGAGTGGTCACTCAACACTTTCTGGCTACAGAGCAGTGTGGTAGGCCCCTGGGGACAGAGTGGTGAACGAAGAACTTCCTTCCTCTCCTTTATGGGCTGGTTGGGGAGAGGAGTGTGGGGAAACTAGCTATAGACAGTGCACACTGTCAGAGGTGAAATGAGATGCGCACTTGAAAAATCTAGACAACCTTTCCAAGGCAATTTGAGAATACAGCTTGGCAGGGTTTCCTGTAGGCAAGTATGAGCGTTAATAATGATAATAATAATAGCTGAAGTTTATTTTAGCCCACAGTATGCTGTCTGTCTTTATATACATTATGTCATTCTTTACAAAAACTCTGTGAGGCAGGTAATGTTATACTTGGCCTCCTTTTACAGGTGAGTCAACTAAAGTGCAGAGAGCTAATTAACGACTGATGTTACGTGATGGTGGAGCCAGCCCTTTAATACTGGTCCACCTGACTTGAGTTGACAAAAGTCTACCTTTGTGCTAGACTGCTATTCATTATTATTTTTATTATTACAATATGAATAAATATTAATAACTGTTGCTAATGGACCCAAGGCTGTTTTGAATACATAGCTATTAGGCTGTTTTGGTAGATATTGTTGGCTGCCAGTAGTTTTCGGTGGGCAAAGTTTAGTTTCTTCCATATACCTGGTCCGGGTTATAAAAACCAAAGTCTCAGACCAAATTCTGCCACACATGCTGGCAGACATGTACAGAATAGTCATGCAGTCTGTTCTGAGACTTCATGAGGTTCCATTTCTTTGCACTTCTTGGTGCTCTGGCATGCACCCTGCATGAAAAGTTCACCTGAGGTAGATACGACAACAATCTTGTAGGCAGGACTTTCTGGTGGAACTTGGGCAACCAAGACTGCCACATCAGCAGCTTGATGGCTCAAGCCCATGGTTGAGTCAACCTAAATAACAGAGAGAAGCTCTCTAAAAGAAAGTGATATTTATTTGGGAATAGGGCATTGCATTGGGAATACGCATGCCAAGAAAACTGTGAGTGTATTCAGGGAGGTAAAGGAAGCCAAAGATTTTGAAAAAACAATGATGGAGGATTAGGTAATTGTTTTGG